TTATGTTTGTATTACTAATATGTCACACTTCATTTATATTCAACAATATGTATTTATTCCCCAAAGTCTACTAAACATTACATAGTGTAGAACCTGCAATTGTTTTAATAAATACAATAACCTATTTCTTATTTGAATAGGACCAAGTGTTAAAAAGTGGAGCAGGAGTGAAAAAGGGCGAAATGTAATCAAACAAATAAAACTAAGAACCAGTTATTCTAGATATTATTTTTGTATTTCTGAGTGTAGCGTCAGAGCAAAGAGATAGTACTTTCATTTTGAAAGAGCACTATAAGTGCTTTAATGCAGTTGGAGCTGAGGCTGGACAGAATCCAACCCCGGGATCAATTGATCATATGCAAATCTAATTATTAGAATGCTTCTGTCTATTTTTCTGAGCAGTTTCTGGATGCAGAAAGCCTGAAGAACATAATAAGTGTTGAAAGGGAATTGGATGCAAAAGATATTTTTGATGCAATTTAAAATATTATTTTAAAATATTATTTAAAAAGATTATTTTCTATTAGGTGCATTTAAATGATGCAAATTCAAGGTTGAAATGATCTCACGGGGCCAAGGTGTGAGGAGGAAAATCATTCAGGTATATGCTGCGGATTTCTGCTCTTTATTGGTTTTTTTTTTCAATAATGAATTAAGGAAAGGGGCACATCTTCAGTGGGTATAAATCAGCATTGCTGATTTAAATTGGCTAGGACTTCTCACTGGAGATAACCTTTAGTATTTCCTTTCAGTTTTATTTACTAGGGTGGTTTTATCTTAGAAGTGTGAAGTAACAAATTCCTTCTGTTTGTTTGTACTCACTAATAATCAATAAAGAAAAGACTATCCTAATGTAGATTAAGTTATTTGTGAACCTTCTAATACTATACAAAGAGCTCAGAAAGGTGTAAATGAAAGAATGAGAAAATATTTGCACGGGAACCATTAAGTCGTGGACTGAATCTGTGATGGAGCACCTGGCGAGGGTGCATCACCAGCCCTGGGAGCACAAGTGCAAACAATTCAGCTCCCTTACCTCATTTTAGGACTGGCAGCTGACACTGAAGGATCTCTACTTGGAGATCCTCTCCTGAAGGAGATCCTAGTAAGTTGTGATCCTCAGAAAGGGGTAAACTACTCCTTCTTTATGACCAAATTGTGATCACTGACTTTAAGTGATCTGAAACTGATGAAAAGCAGCTATATCTGCTGCTGCTGCCTATTTGTGTGAGCTTTTGACATCTAACAGTTTTCCTTTTGTTGATTAATTATTGTAAACTTCTAAATACATTGGAAGTTGGAAAATATTAGCATATATTTATATTTTCTGGTTAAAATTTGTTTATAATGTTTTAACAATTTGGCAGTTAATTGAATATTGCTGCATTACATTTTTGAGTGCTTTTTGCTTTTGGAGATTCAGGTTACAGAGGGTTAATTTACCATCCATCCATATTACAAGAATTTAAAAAATGGCCTCAGTGACATGTCTGGTGGGGGTTACACTTAATTCTTCTTTTTTTTTTTCTTAGAGCGCAGCTGGATTTATTAAACAAGGGATGAAGCAGAAACTGCTTTTTTATATAACCTTTAAACATCAGAAAGATTAGTTCTACAGTAATATATTTATGAGTTCATTATGTAAAAGAGTGATATTTATGTTAAACTGGTAAGAAACAGCATGTGGATATAACAACTTGTAAGTACTGAGGCAAATGCTTAAAATAAAACTACTGTTTGATGTATTATCATGGCTGACTGTGTGAATGGGTTATAAATCTATTTACTTTGTATTTATAACTTAATTTACAGTGTTATCATAGCAATAAATGAAGGTTAGTGCTAGATGCTTACTGACATTTTCATTATAGTTGACATGAATGATCATCATTCAGATGAAGTTGTTTTAAATTCACTTCTGAAATTTTAAGGAGCAAGTCAGTTGTCAGGGCTCATTTTGATGTGGAAACTTGTGTATATCTTTTTTCAATGAGAAATCTTATTTGTAAGTATGCGTTATTCATAGGATTGTCTGCACTGGAAACTATCTGAATAAATACTGTGAACTAGGTAGAGATTGCAAACACTTTTCCCTCAAATGTCACCTTATCTTCAACTCAAGGATGTACTTGTAGAAGGCATTAACAAGAAGGCTGTGCTAATTAATGATGAGAACTTTTTCCTTAATTGTAAGACAAGAGGAAGACAGTAGTTCCAAGTCTAACAAAGTAACAGATTAAGGAAAAAGAAGTTATCTTTGTTATCCTAAAGTGGTGTAATTTTTAAAAATCCAAAGAAGTAGTTTAGGATAATCCCTTCCTACCTCCATCCTTGCTCTTCTTATCTTGCAGGGTAAGTACCATAAACATCTTCCCTGCACTATGTCAGAGCAAGTTGAGTTTTAAATGGCATATACTTCTCTTGTTTAAAATCTTGGTTGTATCAGGTGGTAACAGTTATTGTGCTTCATTCATATTATCCATCCTTCTGTAGGATTTAATTGCTATCTTAGCAGACTGAATTTATGTTTGGAGGGTTTGTAGGCTATCTGAAGATTTCCAATGATAACAATTCTATATCACACACCTTACTTCACAAGTTCTACTTCTATGGAATGTGACTTGTACAAAATAAGCTGCTCTATTTTTCCTTGAAAATTTACAGTAATTCTGTGGTGAGTTCTCCTGACACAATCTAAATTGTGATACCAAACGGATGGATTATAAACAGGTTTCAGTGTTGTGGTTATAAAACCTACTGCAGGAGCTGAAATTCGTTTCAATATTGTTTTTTTTTTTAATGTTGGTTTGTGCATCGTAATACCATGTGTTGGTACAGTATTGTACTATGCAGTTGTCAGAGAATCAAATTCACGAATATGTGGTCTTTGCTTGTTTATACAGGAGGAGGATGTTTTGTGAGTGCATGTTTTAGCTTAGAATATTTTCTATGGTTTTGTTATATTCACTCCCTCAGCTCACAACAAAACAAATGAGCAGTTATTGATCACTCCTTTCTATTTACCATGGTAGAATGAATGGCAAGAATTTTAATAGGCAGACAAAATATCTCATACTAATTTAATTATCCCTAAATTGCTTCTAATACAGAGGTTTAAGACTAGAATTTTTTACTAAATTTCAATCAGGCCGCATAGCCTTCTTTTATCTTTTTCTTCCCTCTCTCAGGTGAAATAAAAAAAGGAAGGGGGGGGGTCTTAATGTAGTGCTTCATGTAATACACTTTTCTTAAATGCATATTGAGTATTTATCCCTTTCCAATGTTTAGTTGCAAATGGACTCCATCATCTCCTAAATTTATGTTACTATTTCATTATCCAGATCTGAGAGACATTGAGGTTAATGACAGCCTTCTAAAGATTCTACTGAGATGTAATTTCAGTTCTAGGGTAATGATAAATCCTTCTAGCCTCCATTTTCTCTGTGCAAGAGGCATCATTGGTCTGGCATAAGATCTTTCATTGTCTTGAAACTGTGTATGTATGTGTGGAAAGAGTATCTCTTTATGATCACATACTATTTGGTGATAATGACGAATCATCTTTGTGTTCTCCAAGGTTGTATTCTTTATTATTTTAGGGATTTTCCTCCTCCTTTTCCTATTCAGGGTCATCTTTTACAAAAGTTTTGTAAAAAAATGGAGCAATGCTCAGATCCACCAGAAGTTTCATTTCTGCGTAGTTAAAAAGGGTTTTTATTTTCTCTCCCTTAGTTTTTTATTCATGAAGCACATATCATCTAATTTCTATTCTTTAACAGTTTCAGTTTGTTAATTTGTTGATTCAATTTGAGATGATGAGCAAATCTCTATAATACTCTAAGGGCTGATATGTGACTCACAGGTTTTGGGATCAGTATTTCCATATTTCTCTTGTGCTTACACACTAAAGATTTCACAAATGGATGTCGCATTTGCTAGTGTTGTTTTAGGTCACCAGTCACTGAGATAACTGCAGTCATGAAAAATTTTCAATATAGTGCATTTAAGAAGCTAGGATCTTGTGCTGAATCTTAAAAAAACAAAACAAACACATTGAAATCATGTTTATATATGTAAGACAATTAATTCAAAAGTGAAATTGCTTTGCTGGAGTCCTGGCTCTCTAGAAATATGCAGCCAGCATTCAAGAGCTGAATGTACTTTTTGTAAAAAATAAAATGTAGTCAGAACTTGAATCTTTTAAAGGCACATCCCTGAATTAGCCTTTGCCTGTGTGTCTTTCAGTCCAACAAACACTTTTTCCTATCAGAAAAGGAGTTAAGCTGCTGCAAATACTGATTTCCTACAAAGGAGCTTGGATTGGTATCTTCTGTGAGGGAAAGTCTTGTAAACAGCCTAGCTTAATGCTATGTTGAATCTATGTGCTGCAGCTGTGTTATGCATTGTTCTATGTCTTTGAGTTTTTAATATCTTTATATATTTGATTTCTTCTAGTTAAAGAGAAAAATAAAAGCCAAGAACAAAGCTAACATGGAACAAGTCAGAGGAGAGATGAATTATCACACACAATTTAGCAAATGTAACTTGTTTATAAATCATATTTCTTTATTTTGTATGTCCTAGGATACCAGATGGACCCATTGATCAGGGACCAGCTGCAGGAAAAGTACATGCTTTAGAGGAACAACTTTTAAAGGCCAAAGAACAGATAGAAAACTATAAGAAGCAGACAGGAGATGGTTAGTAGATAAGTTCTCTTTTACTTCTAAACATTGTTTTTGCTATTCCGTGTCATAAATGTTTTAGTTTCTTAACAATTGCTGATGTGTTTTTTCTTTTTTTTTTCTCTCTGATTTTAATAGGAGGCCTTGGAAAGGACCATGAAATACTGAGGAGAAGGATTGAAAATGGGGCTAAAGAACTCTGGTTTTTCCTCCAGAGTGAATTAAAGAAGTTAAAAAATTTAGAAGGAAGTGAACTGCAAAGGCGCATAGATGAATTTCTGTCTGATTTGGGGCACCAGGAAAGGTATTTGTATTATCTGCTTTTGCATGTATAGCGGAAGGACTATGGATTGATCTAAGTAAAATATTGATGTACCGCTTAAAAATTTATTTGTATACGTTTCTGCTATTTGGGCTAAAATAGCATGTCTGAAGCATGAAAACAAAATTATAATTTTATTTAATGGGGGTGTAAATTATATATTCAGTTTATGTTACTACAGCTTACAGTGTGACTCTAACTTTGGTTTTTAATTGAAAGACCTGGGCTTCAGATGCCAGTTGTTGCTTTTTACTTGCATCTATGCATATGCATGTATGCTGTTTTGGTTTAACCCCAGCAGGCAGATATCTCAGCACTGCACAGCCCCTTGCTCACTCTGCAAAGGTGGAATGGGGGGAATTGGAAAGATAAAAGTATAAGAACTTGTAGTTTGAAAGAAGACAGTTTTCTAGGTAAAGCAAAAGCTGCGTATGCAAGCAAGTGAAGCAAGGAATTAATTCACTGCTTCCTCTCTGATGCTCAGACACTTGCAGGAAAATCAGGTGTGGCACATGTAGCAGTTTGTTGGAAAGACAAACCTCATTACTCTGAACATCCTCCCTCCTTCTTCACCCCAGCTTTTATTGCTAACTCCATATGATATGGAATGTCTTTGAGTCTGAGTCAGCAGTCCTAGCTGTGTCCCCTCCCAGCTCCTTGTGCATCCCCAGCTTTCTCATTGGCAGGGTAGCACAAAAAGTAGAAAAGTCCATAACTCCGTGTAAGCACTACTCAACTGAAACATCTGTATGTTACCACTGCTATTTTCATCAGAAATCCAAATCACGGTGTCATAAATTACATTGCTCATTGGATCATTACGTAATTGTAATTAATTTAAAATTCTGTAAGATCATTATTTCAGGATTAATTATCATTCTGAAGTCATTTCTCCCCCACCTTAAAAGCTTAATGGAGAATATATTAGAAGTTACCTTTAATAAAGTTTTCATTATTATGTTGCTGTTATATTCTGGCCTCCATATTGTTGAAATACTATTTGTAGTATACTAAAATTTGCTATGAGTTTTGTTCATTCTCAACAAAATTAATTCAGTAAGTGTTACAAATTCAGTGAAACCTCTGTAAACCTATTATATTTAAAATGTTATCTTCCCAACAGGATTACAGTGGCAATTTCTGTCTTGTTAGTAAACAGTCAGAAGAAAATTTTGGAGTTAATTAAATATACTACCTTAAACAAGTATCTCTCCCCAAAAAGCTGAGACACCTGCATGTTTGAACATCAGTAGTAAAGCATGAGCCTTTGAAAATATTACTGTAGTAGAAGGAAAACCTGGTAAGAAACTTTTGGAAGTCATGTAAAATAATATTTAAAACCAACAGTTTTAAAAAAAATGCTTTTGATTATTAGTCTGGGCAAAGACTTCAGTTGATTTAATTTTGTTATTTAATCTTTCAAACACTAAAATGTCACAGATTGATGGTGCTTAAAGTGAGTAGGGACCATTCAATTATCTGGAGTTATTGTCTATATAAAATAGATCATTACGTTTCATCCAATTATTTCTCTGCTGAGTGCAATAATGTATGTTTGAAGTAAAAGCAGTGCTTGGCTAAAACATAATTTTCTGAAAGACTCAGATCTTCAGTTAAACAGTCAACAAACAGATAAGCTAACCAATTCCCCAGGCAGTTTGTTTCAGTAGTTAACTCAGAAATATTTATTCTCTTCAAGAATTATTTTCTTTTAGGCTTCTTAGACTTCAAGCCATTGACTCCTGACATACCTTTTAAACTGTGTATCAAAACTGGAGCAAATAGTATAATGTCAGACTTACTGGGATCTGTCACAGTGACTAAATAACTTCTGTATATGCTACTGCTGTGTTTGTATACCTTAGCTGACATTAGGCTGTGACGACAGCTGAATCTTGAATCGTGGTGTGATTTGATGGCAGAATGTTTTTTTGTCCCTCCATTACAGTTGGAAAGATTAACGTGGTGGAAACGCGATAGAGGAGCATAACAGCAAAGGGACTAGCACTGATGAAATGGTGTTACAAGAGAAAGGAAAGGTGCTCATCCATCTCTGAAGATCTGGGCTTGCAGGAAAGACTCCACAAGGGAGTGATCTTCAACCATGAATCCTTCCCCAGTGGCAGTCAGCCCTTAAATGGGGTCTAAGAGAGGTGCAGCCAGGCTCCACCCCTTCTGGTCACACAGGAATTGCTTTCATCTGTGCTCCCAGGGCTGACTGGGTCCTTTCCCCGGTGCTCAATCAGTGAGTGGTTCAGGCTATGACTTGACAGTTACCATACATCCTGCCTCCCAGCATGAGTTGTTTTCTTATTCCTTTCTTTCCAACACCAATGACTGCTAGTTCATTAAACCAACATGCAAGTTACCTGTATTTTTGTTTGACAGCCTTGTCTTCATGTCTGTCTTTACTTAAGGATGTGAAGAAGCACATACTACTTAAACTAAATATTGAAAATGTACATTGTAGACCTCTGAAATTTATTAGATGAATCCTTCTATGGAATCACAGAATGGTTTGGGTTGGAAGGGATCTTTAAGATCACCTGGTTCTAATCTCCTGCTACAGGCAGGGACACCTTCCTCTGACCAGGTTGCTCAAAGCCCCATCTAGCCTGGCCTTTAATGCTTCCAGGGATGGGACATCTGCAACTTGACTGGGCAACCTGTTCCAGTATCTCACCAGCCTCACGGTAAATAATTTCTTCTGATATCTAGTCTAAATCTACCCTGTTCCAGTTCCCTTCATCCTGTCACGACATGTGCTTATAAAAAGTTCCTCCCCAGCTTTCCTGTAGGCCCCCTTCAGGTATTGGAAGTCTGCTATAAACCTCTTCTCCAAGCTGAAGAACCCAATCTCTCTCAGCCTGTCCTTATAGGGGAGGTGCTCCAGCCCTCTCTTTGTGGACCTTCTCTGGAACTGCTCCAACTACTCCATGTCCTTCTCGTGTTGGAGTCTCCAGAACTGGACACAATACTCCAGATGGGGTCTCATGAGAGCATAGTAGAACGGCAGAATTGAGCCTTCCTCAACCTGTTGGTTACTCTTGTCTTGATGCAACCCATGATATGATTGGCTTTCTGGGCTGCAAGCACATGTTGCCAGCTCATGTTGGATCTCCCATCAATCAGCACTCCCAAATCCTTCTCCTGCGGTCTGCTCTCAAACCATTACTTGCCCAATCAGTATCTGTGCTTGAGACTGCACCAGCTAAGATGTAGGACCATGCTCTTGGCCTTAGTGAGCATCATGAGATTGACATAGGCCCACCTCTCAAGCCTGTCCAGGTTCCTCTGGATAGCATCCCTTCCCCCTTGCGTGTCAAGTGCACTACTCAACTTGGAAGCCTGAAAGCATTGTAGTACTGGAAGAAGTTTGTAAGATACAATCAATAACAATTGTGCTTCTTCTAAAAAAATTAAATTTATTGTAAAATTAGTCTTACATTATTTTTCAAAAGCAAAATGTCATGCCTGTTGAGTCTTAGAAGCAAATCTGTGCAGGCATTCTATATGGTGAGGTCTTGAAACAAGACTAAAGTTTTTAAGCAAAAATTGAAAACTGAGAAATTAGTGGCTAGTTTTGTTTTTAAAAGTGTAGTGTGGTATTTCAAAATATGAAAACAAAAAGAAACAGTGTAAGAGAAAACGTGTACTCTGTATTTGCAATATTGACTTAAGGTACTGTAAAGATTTTGTGTTGCAAGATGCTCTTTTTTGTTGCTTCTAGTCCATAGTATGTTTGTTCTTTCACCTTTAAGGTCTGTCTGCTTCTTTCATTGTCATGTCAGTCTTTCTCAATAAGCTACAAGACAACTTCTAGCCTTCCCATGTGCAGCCTTTGGCCTGTGAGACACTGCTGTCTCTGGGGTTTTCTTTTCCCTTAAGATATGCAGTAGTCACCTAGACTGTTTTTTCCCCTACACACAGTCTTGACCTCTTCCCTGAAAATAAGCATAACTAGAATGAGCGAATCAAATGCTGTCACTCACTCTGAGAATCACAGGATTTGGGGTGTTTTGGTTGTTGATGTGTTTTTCTCCTTTGGAAGTATGTTGTGGAGTTGTTGATTTGTTTTGGAATTTAAGAAGTTGCTGAATGTCCTTGAAGATTGTTGATTGAAGAAATGAAGAATGATTGCCTATGTATCTTAACTAAATTTCATATGTTAAATATGAAATATGGGCATTATGTATACATACAGACTTGCACATTTCTAATCTGAATTATAGTATGAGAAAAGTAATATTGTTAATTTTAAGTACTTACAACAGTTTCTAATTTCTTTGATATGGGGGAAGCTGACATTGGGGTAGGGAATGATGAAATGACAAGATAGCTGTTGAAGAAAAGTAGCTAATTTTTCTCATGAACAAGATCTTGTGTAATATGGAAGACTTGCTTTTGTAGAGATGATAGACTTCAAGACAGTTTCTGTGACTCAAGTTAAGTAGTATTGGAGTTCCTTGTTGACCTTAATACTGTTATGCAAATGGACTATTACTAACATGATAGCGCTTCTACTGTCTGATGCCTTAATCATTATGTCTTAGTTGTGTCCTTGGATTGTGAAGATTTTCTCCCTGAGAGTGCTGGTCTTGGCAGATGTCTTAGTCCGGTATTTCATCACTACTTCTACTGAAGGAACAATATAGTCTGTTGCAAGTATATTATTATGGTTGCTAGAGGGAAGAGAGTCTCTGAGATCAGCTTTATTTAACAATGGAAAGGCTATTTGATATAGAGTTGATGTAAAAGAACAGGTTAAACTACTAGTTGTGATTATATCCTATGTTGGCATTCTGTTGTTTGCAAAGTGGTTTTGTTACCCACACTTCATTCCTTCTCTTCCTTCTCTTCTCTTATCATGGCTTTTGTGGTAGTTGACCAAACTTTGATGAATAGTATTTGGCGTCCTTCTAATTTGGTGACTCATATATTTTTTTGTCCTCTGAGTTTTTATTGAACTACAGTCTCTAACATGCTGATGTGTGACTTTTGTCATGTGACTCAGAAAAGTGTCTAGCTTTAAGATGTCTTAACCTATTTTTTGATTTTTTTGTGACAGATGAAACATAGATCCAGATTCTTTGATTCTTTACTCATTCTGTTTTCTAGGAGCAAAATACTTTTAGAGCAGCTCCAAGATTTGAATTTGTGTTAGAAAGCAAAAATAGCAACAACCCATTTATGCTGTTAGTTAGAAACACAATGAAAAAACAAATGTGACTCAATATCTGCAACTTCGGTATCTGAAATCTTTGTGCAGTCTTAACCCCTGCAGTGTCCTCTAATAATCCTGTTCAGATTCATCTTTTGTCTGTGTTTTCCTATCTTGGGCCTACTGATCACTGGCCCACCTACTATTAGCTCCCGGTACAAAGACTAACCCTGGTCGTGGGTATTTGTCCATATCTTTTTTTAAGTCTGTATTATCACAGCCGAAATGATGGTCTCTCATGCTGAAATGAACACAGCAGCTGTAAACTAAAGAATGCATGTTTCCCAGCAAGAAAATCAAAGGAAGTCTCCATAACTCAAAGTGGTTAAGTGCTGGGACATGTTTAACTGTGACAACTGTATCATGATTTTTGTGTTATAACACCTGTGAATTTTTTGGTCCCTGGTTTACTTCACAGTTTTATAGGAGTAAATATATGTATACATAAAAGATTCTGGACGTGTTCTGATACCTCTTGCATGAGATCATAAGGTTAGGTTTTATGGTCACATGACAGTATTTACTTACTGTAGATCCCACTATGTTCAAGGAGCATCTTCTCTAGTATCCAGGAGAATGATTCAGGATGTTTTTTCATTTATAGCCCATCTCCTGTGTAAGACTATAATTATTTATGGTTATGGAACATATGTTAAATGGAGAACAGAGTCTTTCTTGGTTGCTGTTTGAATTATGGGGAAGGATGAAGAAACTATTTTTGAGGCAATAACTGAAGTAACTTTCATTTTTTATTCATTTCATCTAACACTCTTGTGTTGTAATATTACAATTGTTTCCTATTGTTGTTTATAGGTCAATAATGACAGACTTGTACTACCTCAGTCAAACAGATGGAGCAGGAGATTGGCGAGAAAAAGAGGCCAAAGATCTAACAGATCTGGTGCAGAGGAGAATAACTTACTTACAGGTAAAAAGAGTATGCTTCTTAAGTCAAGGGAAACATTAAGAATTCTTTTGATAAAGCACTTAGCGATATCTTTGTAATAATAATTACAGTATAGTTTGAAGTGAATGCTTCATATATGAATGGAATTCATATAACAGAAATAAGAAAACTTATGTCAGAAATAATTTTGTGTATGCGGAAGAGCAGTATTTCAAGCAAGAGAGTTTAACAAGAAATTAGTGATTACATTCTAATTGTAACTGCACAGAAGTGTATCAGATCTATGAGAAGCTATAGACTTCAAAATGGAACATTCAAATATATGTTATCTTTTTTTTTTATCCTCATTTCTGTGCCTTAAAAAACAAACAAACCTGAGGGTGCAAACTCTTATCCTGTATGCCTATGCACTATGCTGGGCATAAAGTTTTTGAGTCCGTATGAAGGTTAAAATGCCTATTGTGTAGGGATTGATGATCCCAAACTGAAATGTCTAAGGCTGCATTTTGAATACAAGTTAATGTGTTTTGTAGTAATTATGTTTAAAAATACCTGTGTATTTTAGGATTTTGAAGAGTGTAGTGCTGACCATCAGTATGGAATGTAAAACAGTCCATGGTCTGAAACTACAGATATGTACCTCCACTAATTATATGAACGTATATAAAAATTAAAAAAAAAAAATCAACAATCTCCCTAATTCCATAAACCAAAAACTTGATGTGGAGCGTTCTAGTAAAATTTTTTTCTGGCTAAAGAATCATAATATGGTATGGCTTTCTTGCTGGGACATGTTTAACTGTGACAGCTGTATTATTTTGGGACATCTCCTTGGGAAATCATTTAGATGAATGATTGTGAATAGTGATGACTGCAGCTTCATTTGAATGGTATTATCATAAATTTGATTTAATGAGGCTACATTTAGCTTCTTCCTTGTAGTGTGAGCAATACTTAAAAAAACGAGGAGCTTATGTTTAAGCAAAATACAGTCTTTTCAGAGATGTTCATCATCAAGCCATTGAAAAGAATGTGTAAAAGAAGTCTATTCTTTAAGTTGTCACACGAGGGCTTCAATAGTACTGTATATAATATAATACCGTGTTTTAGAAGTGTGACAAAGCAAGGAAACAATTAGAAGAGTAGTATTTCATTTTTGTTCTTTTTAAAATGTATCTATTTCAGGAAGTTTGTGATTTCACAGTGCCATCTCCCACTAGCAGAATATTTTTTGCTTTCAATTTGAAAAATTCAAAAATTACATTTTGTTTAACTTTGGAGGCTGAAAATATATGATAGGTGAAAAACACTACTAAAGTAGTTGTACAATCAATTAATATACAGATGTTATAATTATGAAATAAACAAGAGAGTTTGGCTAAGCAGGTTATCATACCAAATCAATCAGAAGTTTTAGGCCGTGATTCAGCAGTTCTCGTACAGTAGTCAACATAGTCAATTATAACGGTCAGTTTGCTAAAGTCATACTGTTTATTTGGGGGGGGAGGGCAGTGTATATATACAAAGAAAAAAATTATTCTAAGATGTTTGAATTTCCCAATATTATTGATGATTTAATGTGTAACTTATTTTTTTCTCTTTCTACCCCTTCCTACGTTAAAGTTAACACCAGTTCTTAATAAATGCATTTATTTTAATATAACAGCGACAAAGAGGCTCAGTGTGCTCTGCATACGTGCAAAGGGTTGTACTCTTCACAACTGTCTTGACATGTATAAACTTGTGTGCTTCTATAATTCAAATCTAATACAATTTAACTTTTCCCAGTTATTCCACTCAGGAAAAACAAATGGCTATTATAAGTTGCTATTTGTGTAGATAAATTTAAGCTAGTTTGAAATAAAAACAAAATAAAATATCAGTGTGGGGAAGAAAAAAACTCTAAATATTCTCCCTCTATGCATTTATTTTTTCATTTTCTTTAGTCCTATGTGTCTGTGAATCCTTGCCCTGGGAAAGGTGAGGCTTTCTTTAATTGGCAGACCTTGTAGTGTTTCAGTCTTCTCATGGAAATGTCAGCATCCTTAGGTTTATTTGAAAGCTTCCTGGCATTTACATCAGCTACCTAGAACCCTGATAATTCTCTTACTAAAGAAGAAAAATGTCAGAAACTTCCATTTCTGAGGAATATTAAGAAATAGACTTAGGCATACTACATTCTAATAGTCTCATCTTGAAATGTTGAAAGTATGATTAGATAACTGTCAAAGCAAACTGTTGAAAAAGACCATATCCTTAAGCTTAACTGAGGTATGTTTTTGGCCACATGTACAACTTGCTTGTTTGAACAATATAGCTGCAGTCAAGATTTTTGGTTATGAATTCATAATACTGGCAAACCTTGGCTATGCCATCTAGTTGTCTATAATAGTAGACAGTGTCAAGTTCATTTGATTAAACTTCAATCATTTGACCCTCGTATACTCATTTAATTGTAAACAAGTCAGTGCCACCACTCACTAGTGATCAACAGAATTAAAAGGAGATGATGACGATCAAATTTGTATCTAAAGAGAAGTCACTGAGCAGTGACTTCTCTGAACAGTATGTAAGTACATTCTCTCTCAGATTCTGGCTTGCTGTTGCACTTATAAGGGATTGTATTTTATAGGACTTTTTCTTCAGTGAGGGATCAGTGTTTTTTTTTGTGGTTGCACAAAAGTTTCTTTAATTGTTTATTGAACCATTTTTACTGTTGGGCATTGTAGGCTCATCTGTATTTTTCATTTCTTTCCCCATATTTGCCAGATTTTTGAATTAATTACACAGCAATGGAAGAGTGGATTTGATTCCTTTTCTGTAAGATTAGAAAAGAAAACAAAGCAAAAACTTAAGACATGAAGAAATCCAGACGTTTTAGAAGCTAATATTTGGGCAAAATAGAAAGATTTAAAAATAAAGCAAAGAATTAAAGAGAAAATAGTAGAGAGCAGCCCAATTTTTCTGGCTTCTAGTGAAGGTATACTTTCATAAGAGACTGAGTTGTTTCTATCTTTTCCATTCTTAAAAGCAAAAGTGAAAATGATCTGAGTGTTTATTGTGACGTCTTGTGTCATCTTCACTGGCTTCCTAGTAAATTCAGTATCTGAAAGTATGATATTAGTGTAATAACCAGTTTACAAAATATGATCACTGCTGATAAATATGTGTATATATATATACATACACATTCTAGAAAAAAATACATATAGTGGATTGAGAGTCTTCGCTATTTGCATGCTGAGACGCTTTTCTCAAGCTGAAGGGTATTTATTGTAGGAGAGTAGGTGCAAGTTAGAGGAATGAACATTAGGGGCTGATAAGGCTGTTTTTTTGACATGACACACATGGTAGTAATTTTCTTTTAGCAGCTGAAAGAAATTTCTGTTGTGTCCCCCATTCTCCCTCCTATACTGAGGGGAAGACAGTATGTAAAGGACCTGTTAAAAGTACCACCATATAGAGAGGGAAATAGAAGATTGTGTGTGTTTGTGATAACTAAGATGAGATGGACCTTTTCTTGGTGTCATTCTCTCAAAGTTGATATTTTCATTGAAATTTGAGTGAGGCCTCTCCTCTAGAAGACTGTAAAATTAAGGAATAAAGCATTTAGTGAAAACATACATGTAAAAATCCACACCTTAGTCAATAAGCATTGTATTGTTTATGAGGTTACCTGCAGCAGAGTGCTTGACTGTTCTGCTTTTAACTGTCTTGATTCAATGGACGATAGTACATTTCCCTAAGTTTTGAACAGTATAAATAACAGTAGGTTTTCTTACAATAGAAGGTATGTTAAATATCAGTTTTGCTAATTTGTCATATTTCTGGGGATTAACTGCCCACTTGAAAACAGTGGAAGGTTATGAGGCATTGAAGCATCATTTCTGACATTTTTTCTGTTTGATCCTGCTGACTCTGGGAATATGCTATCAAAAAAACTGTGGGTTCTTTGAGTGCTGAGAGAAGTGAAAAATGGGAGCCAGGAAATAGTCCTAAGACTATTTTTACTTTACTCAAACAATGACAGGGAATGTTCCCAGGCACTGGAACATAGTATTCTATATTCTTATTAAATTATTAGAACAATTCCTGGCATGCTTTTGACTCATATTAAGTAGTTTTCTCCCAAACAGTTCTTTGGCTGTGATTGAGAGTTAGCACAATACAATTTTATTTATCTATTGTGTGTCTACCCTGTTTTAAGAGGTTTAGAGAGTTTAATATCAAGAACAATCTATTCTGCACCAGTCAGACTATTAGGTACATTTGGATTCATAGTATAGATGTAGTCTATGTATTTCAAATTATCATACTTTTAGTAATTTTGATGGTGGCCAACAGGTTGAACTGTGAGCCAGCAGTGTGCCCTTGTGGACAAGAAGTCCAATGGAATCCTGGGGCGCATTAAAAAGAGTGTTGCCAGCGGGTTGAGGGAGATTGTTTTTCTCCCTTCTTCACGGTGCTTGTGAGACCGTGTCTGGAGTACGGTGTCCATTTGTGAGGTTCCCTGTTCAATAATGACAGAGAACTTCTAGGGAGAGTCTAGTGAAGCAATAAAAAGATGATTGGAGCCTGGAGCATCTCCCTTGTGAGAAAAGGCTAAGAGACCTTGGACTGTTCAGCCTGGAGAAGACTGAGAGGGGATCTTATAAAAATCCAAAGGATGAGTGTCAAGTGAACGGGGCCAGGCTTAGTGACAGAGCAAGGGGCAACAGGCACAAACTTGAACACAGAAAGTTTCATCTGCACAGGAGGAAAATTATTATTATTATTTTTTTTACTTTAAGAGTGACAGAGCACTGGAACAGGCTGCCCAGGGAGGTTGTGGAGTCTCCTTCTCTGAAGGTATTCAAAACCCACTGGGATGCTTTCCCGTGTAACTACTAGGGAACCTGCTTTAGCAGGAGAGTGGGGCTTCATGATCTTGAGGTCCTTTCCAACCCCTGTGATTCTGTGATTTTAGTTGATTTTTTACTGCTACTGTTGTATGCCAGTAATCTGAATGTAAAAATACAGCAAACTCTAGTTTTGGATCCACATTTTACAATAAGAAGCTATGGTTTTTCATTGTCCTTCGCTGATTTACAAATTTAGTGGACTGTGTTTTTGTTTTATTCATTTTATTCAGTCATTCATCAGGAATAAGAAACAATGAACTTGTTGTAGAATTAATGTGCTAGAGACCATTAAAGATATTTAGTCTTTTGATTTACATAGAACATATGTGACTAGAAACACAATCTGTTCTGTTCTCACCATTCTTGCTGGTGATTCCATTTAAAATATTGCTGTTTGTTTAGGGGAAAGGTAAATACCCATTCAGTGGTGTCCGTTTCCCACTATAGGTATAATTTCCATCAAAACTTTTTCCATGTTTTTCTGTCTATTTATACTAATACTTTCCAGGAGTTAGGTTTCTCTCTTGCTTTTTTTTTCCCTTTTCTTCTTTTGTTGCTGTTGTTTTAATTATATTTTTATATCATTTACTATATTCTTATATAATTTATATTTTTCCTCAATTTTTGAGGTAAAAATAGTTATATTTTAGATCAATTACTGCAGATATCTGTCCTTAATACCACGAGTATTCTGCAAAACCTGTACTGAAAATTCTGAGACTGAAACATGCAGAAGCATTTCATGCTGTTAAGTCATAATCCAATTACACTATTTCTTATGGGATAATAAAACTGTAGATTACAGACAGCCGCACTGAATTTTGAGTTATGTACAAGAGAGAAGGCAATAATTAACACATACAGACACACATGCAGTTGACAATACTATTGAGTAATAAGATTTTGGATTTATAATTGTGTGAAAATATAATTCATGTTCAGCAATATCTGCCTCTTAGATATTCTGTGCAGCTTCAGTCTTGTGTCGGAAGAGATGTGATAGGACTAGAAAACCTGAAGAGGATGATCAAATATATGGAATGGATAGTTCCAAGAAATAAGTCTAAATAGATGTAGATTTCAGTCTAAGAGAACTGAGAAGGACATGCGGTGTACAAACGTCTACAAAATCTCACCATGTAGAAAGCAAGTAGGGTACAACAGTCTAGTCTCTTTCTAAGAAGACATGCTAAATTAAAGGAGTTGTACTGTGCTGCTCTTGCCAAGCTAAGATTGAATTTAACAAGGCTTAAATATTTGAGATAGTCAATCCTGATAGTGTGGAATTCACTTCAGTTTCATTAATCTTCTTATAAAGATTTGTAGTGCCAGACTTTCACTGGTGAATCACAGATACTAGAAATAACTTTAAATAACTTTATTTAAAGGTTTTTAGTTCCTGTTTAGCATATGTTAGATAAAATAATTTTTAAATGAATTCAGGAGAGCTATTTTTAGTAAGAGAAAGTAACAGCCGAAGTCAGTAATTTAAAAGAAGCTATTCAAGGTTATTCCTTCAAACAGGCAAATCAATTAATGTTAATTAAATCCAAGACTAAACGCTACTATTTCTGTGAGTACTGAAGCAGTTTTGGGGGCTGCGATGCAATACGTTATTTCCCAGCTGCAGTAAAGATGTCAGCCATACTTCTGTAACTCTCCTAATGGCCTGTTGTTCTTCATTACAAAGGTTGTTAAGTAATAAAAAAAATATATGGTGATAGATTTCTTGTAGAGGAAACATGGATCTATCACTTTACTTGTAACCTAGATATACAAAGGCATTTGCATTTCCTGTACAACTTCTCTGGGAAAGAAGGAGCTGGAATCTGCCAACACTTACAAGGTGCAAGATAACAGCCTATTCCCTTTATTTGAATGATAGTTCAATTGTATCCACTTAGTGGGCCACTCAAGATGCTTTTCCCTTAAAATGAGAAAAATGAAATCCTGAAGTAAGATGGTGATGTTTGTTTTTCAGATCTGAATTGTTTTCCTTCACACAGTTGAATTCCCAAGTTATTTTTTTTGCTAAGTACTTTAGGTCTTGGATTATTCAGGTTATCTTTAAGATCGCTGTTCTCCAAAAGGTACTGGATGAATGCGGGAAAGACCTGATTTGTTGTAAAGCTTGAATTACAGAAAATTTTATTTAAAGATAGTGTGGTGTAAGAAAGTTTCTATTCATGTTCCAAATATCAATATTCTCACAGTTTAACTGAAAACTAAGTTTACGTCCTAGAGATTTTATAGGAAAAAAAAAAATTTTTTTGGAATGATGAAGTATATTGAGAGAATTTAAGGGCAAATATACAGAAATCTGTTTTACAGAAAGGAAATCTTACGTAGATTTTTCTTCCATCTCATTCAAATGCCTAAAAATATTTAACAGTTGATATATTTAAATATACTTAGCATTCACATCCCATGCACATTTGGAAGTATAGTATATTATTTTATTGATAGTGTGTACTGTCTTCTGTCAATCTATTCAGCTGTCTGTTTTGTAGTCTGTATATGGTGTTTAGTCTGGGAAGCAGTCCGTTAACAAATGTTTTATTCTGTAGCCAGGTGAAGTGAGAATTTTCTTTTTTTTTAATGTAACGTGTGGGCATTGAAAGAGAACTAAAACCTGGAAGAATGCCAAAAGAACTTTAAAAAGACCATTCCAAGACTGAGAATTATGTTGCTTATATGTGAATGGTGTGCACAAATATTAGAGAATCGTGTTGGTTGTATGTAAACTCTGAGTACAAGTATTAGCTTCTTCCAACAGATTTACAAGTGAGAAACTGATTGAAGATATTCTATTGTATATTAAGATAGTGAAGAATGCTCAATAACAGTTCACATTCACTGTGAAAAACTCGCATAAAATTTTCATGGAGCTGAAGCTTGCTCATTCATTTTAATGAGATGTATTATAGCAGGATGACTTGTGTGATTTATGACATTTGTCAGTTTTTCACAAAAAAGTATGTATGTCTTCGTGTATGTCTGCTCCTCAACTTTACTTTTTCATCCATGTTTACAGAACCCGAAGGACTGCAGCAAAGCTAAGAAACTTGTCTGTAACATTAACAAAGGCTGTGGCTACGGTTGTCAGCTTCATCATGTGGTCTACTGCTTCATGATTGCTTATGGCACTCAGCGAACGCTCATTTTAGAGTCTCAGAATTGGCGCTATGCTACTGGTGGCTGGGAGACTGTATTTAGACCTGTAAGCGAGTCCTGTACTGACAGATCTGGTACAACCACTGGACACTGGTCAGGTAACAATTAACTCACTTAACTCGATTTCTATTTATTTATTTATTACAAATTCTATCGTGTAGGACTATTCTGGTAACTCTTCCTTTAACATTATGTGAACCACGGTAACTATGGCTGCAATTGTACGTATAAACGTTGTTTAAATTTTATTTATTCATTCTACTGAAGAAAATAACATTCTTATTAAGAGGACTCTACTGCTTTGGCAGAGATTTTTTTCTTAATAAAAATTTCCAGATTTTAAATATAATCCTTCATCAGTCTGCCACTGTGTTATGAGCCAGATATGAATTCAATTTTTGTGGGAATTGAAATGTAAGTAGAAGCTGTTGTTGATAAACTTTAAAATAATAAAGCATGTTTGAAGTATAAAAATAATGTAAATATGAAGAAAATAGTATTCAGTGGGAATTCACACACATACACAAAACCATATTGATATATATATTAATATAAACTAAACTGACTCGAAATGAACTTCAAATTGTAAAAGTAATAGCAAAGTTAAAGGCCTTGCTATTTGTAGATCCATACGTTGATCCATTCCTATTCTGGACTGAACCATTTTGCTAGGAAAAAAAAAAAGTAACCGCATATTCAGATGGGCATTCATGTTTGGGGGATCAGAAAGCTTTATCTCAAAGAAAACAGAGCATTCATTTTAATGAAATTCTTCCAGTCAACATCATAAGAGACTAAAAAACCATCAGCATAATTCTGTAGTTTTTCCTACATATTTAAAATCTTTTTTGTGTATTTGTCAAATTGAGTAGCTGTAGTGTAAGTGTAGATGACCAGCATTGTCTTCTGAATTTATGCTAAGCACTAGAAAGAATTTCTTATGTTAATTTTCAGTACAGATAACTTTTATGTGAACAACTGTGAGCTTTTAAAACTGGATTTTATAGACTCCCCTTCCAAATAGTGTTAAAATAGCAATTTATAATGGTTTGAGTAAGTTGATTTTAAGAATACAACTGTCTCTTCATATTAAAAATAGCTAAGTTTTAGAGGTATGTCTTCATCATGGAAAAAAAAAAAATTGAAAATATGTTAGAGTAGTAGAATTTCAAGTTTTGTAATATGTCATAGTAACTGGGAGATGAATAGATATTCTAACAATGGGTAGAGAATGGGTTAAGGTATGGACAAAAACAATTAAAAGTATGAAACAAGTAAGAGAGATGCTGTGCTGCATTTCTGGTTATGGCCATTTTATTTATCAGCACTAGTTTAGCACATGGCATGATACTCTTACTCCAAAAAGGAATTTTGGCTCAGTAGCTCTGCTTAAGGATAGATAACTGATAGTGTTGATTGTTAAGATTAGTTGGGCCTATAGATTCAGTAAGGGAGTGTCAGAACATTGTTCTTTACTCTCTTTCCAGTATATCAAGAAGGAAGTGGTTGGCAGCAGTAAAAGTGGCTTTGACATCACTGGGACATCTGAAAAATGTTGAGGTTTTCAACAGAGAATTGTATAGGCTACATCCATCAGTAAGAGACTGTGACACTAATGAGATGTTTTCATAGCATACAGCTTTTTCTCTAGAAATGCAGGTGGTACAGCATGACATTCTCAGACCAGTACTACCCCAACGCCTTAATGACTATATACAGTTTACTCTTTGGGCTAACAATCAGAGCTTTTAGATCCTGAGTTGACAGAAATTATTCTTTCCCCTGTGTTCATTCTTTTTTCTTGTTGACAGACACCTTGTCTATAGATTTTCAATGATGCTTAAGGTTATATATCAGCAAGAATGATCAAATGTGCAAGCCTGATGCCTTTATCCCAGAGTCACAAGAAATACTCCCCTTCATTTCTGACATGCACATGGTTACACTGTATTTCAAGAGAACTCTTGAGCTTGTCACTGGAATTGGAACTTAACATCAGTGCTGGAAAGAGGAAAAAAAAGTTCTTCCTTTCACTGCATCTGTCTTTTGATCCTGTGAAATGTTTGGTGTGTTCCAGCATTTCATTATATTAAATATTGTAGAAATACTTCATAGTAATAAACTTTGAAAACTATTTTTTGGGTTAACAATGTAATTCCTAAGTTATGCAGAAATCCTTGGATTTCAGTTTTTAACTACTTCTGTGAATTTTGATGACTATGGCCATCCCATGTGTCATTATCTCTTTTGTAAGACTCAAAGCTAAAAATATCTTGAAAGGATGTTTTGAGCAATAATATTTTGAATTGCCAAGTCGCAGTTTTATGTTATCACTGCAATATGCTAAAAAAAAGGGTAGACCTCTTTCTCATTTTTACTTGCTGATTAGTGACATTCTGGCTGTATTCTCCAATAATACATTGAAGAAGGGTTATAAACTGACTGAGATATTTTTTGTTTTGTTTTTTGTTTTTTTTTTTAAGTAATAAAAATAAAGGAACAATAAACAGAAGGAGAAAAACATTGAGTCAGATTAAGGACAGGTCACGATACAGTTAGAAGTTATTTCTGCATTACATGATGGACAATGCAATTTACATGCTTAAATAATGGTATGTTCTCCCATAAGACCTCCAAACTATTAGGATGAATCATGAATTGAAACAGGAAACCTGAAGCAAAGTTTCCTGCAGCTTCATTTGAATATTGTCTTTATAGCCTCTAGGTATGGTTTTATGGATGAGTTGTTTTAAGGCAGGGTTGCCCAGAGGGGAAGAATGTCAAAGCTGTTCATTTGTTGTTAGTGTCATCTTTCAAATATTCACTGAACTATAATTTTTAAAATATAAGTTCACTAATAATTTTATATGTATAATTCAAGGCAGAGGATAAAGATTAGTTATTTAGACACATATAAGGGTAATCTAGTCTTGAGTGAAAGTTCTGTCTAAAACATCTGTATGTTCTCCTTTAGTTGGTATTTAAAAATAACAAATTCTTACATGTACATCACATATATCTGTAGTACTTGGTTGTTTTCCTTGATCTATTTAGTTTGCTGCTTACTTTCATAGCTTAAGTTCTTCAAGACAAGAATTGTCTCTGTCAGTAGAACAGCAAATTCTATTTGCTATTTTCTGTTTCCTAAATTAGTGGTTCTAATTGATGTTAGAAAAGCTGGAATTTACTAAAATGTATTCAGAAAGTTGAAGGTAAGTGAAAATTATATTTAAAAAAAAAAACAGTAAGACTATGTAGTTATTTTTTTAACAGTTTCTTGGGCCTTAAACAATTTCTCTACTTTTGTCTTAAGCCAACCAAATCTAAGCATTTTTAGATAGCAAGTTATAGTCAAGTAAAGCTCTCTCCACAATAATGCTCTGGTCTTACTAAAACAGAAAAACAGGTATGAATATGTGAACAGAAACACTTCTTAGCTTTTGTTGATTGACAGCTGCTAAGAATTCAAAGACCTTCAACATTGTTTTAGTAGAATAGATAGTTTCAGTTTATAAATAAATGTAGCCTAAAATTGTGGGGTTTTTTTGTTTTTTGTTTTTTGTTTTTTAAATTCTCTTCTGGTAAAGGTAGAGAATGGGTTTGGTGATGTTTTTAAAATTGAAGCTTTTGTTTAGCTTAGATATGTTTGAGATGTTACAAGGCAATGATAAAGCTTATTAATTAGTAAACTATCTGACTTATCTTGGTGTGTATTTTAATACAGGTGAGGCTAATGATAAGGATGTACAGGTGGTGGAGCTCCCCATTGTTGACAGCTTACACCCACGGCCACCTTATTTACCTTTGGCTGTCCCTGAAGACCTGGCTGATAGGCTAATTCGTGTACATGGGGATCCTGCAGTATGGTGGGTCTCACAGTTTGTCAAATACTTGATTCGTCCACAGCCTTGGCTAGAAAAAGAAATAGAGGAAGCTACCAGGAAACTCGGTTTCAAACATCCTGTGATCGGGTGGGTATTTAGTTTTCTTTATTTGTCTGTGCATTAATACATGTATACAATGATTCCTGTTCATAAGTTTTTTCTATAATGATGTTCCAAGAGCCTGAAGTATTTTGAGGGAGTAGGGGGGGTACTTTTTAGACTAAGTCATCATTATTAGTAAGCTGTGCATAATACAAATTGATCACAAGTATTCATTTTCTTCTTGTCCTCTTGTTGGAAATAGATGTAGGTTCAATAGAAGAATTAAATGTCCTTTGATATCTAGAAATATAACATTGAATTACATTCATGTAATTGCCTTGTGGTTTACATTCCAGACACTTTTCTATCTGTGTCTTCTTTTAAAGTGATCATAAGCTTTATCATTGAGGGGAAAAGTGTACATTTCATGTGCTGCAATCCACTGCTAATTTTCTTGTTGACTGCACTTGAGTGTGGTGTGTGCCTTTTCTGCTGATGCTTTAATTGTTGCTAGCAGCATCTATAGATTGGAAAGGACTGTATGGGGAGCTGTAGGGAGCAGGAAAGTACCTATGTGCAATGAAGAACAGCTTGTGGAAGAAAGGTTTTTACTGTCTTGTGATGTGACGGTTTTTGATGCTGCTTCCTTTACTATATATATATATTTTTTTTCAATCCTTCATCTTTCTTTTTCTAGTATATAGTAGTTCTGTCCAAATATTATTTATTTAACTGGCTTTTGACCATTGACCTGATAGGTCACTTCTCTACTGGCAGATCTTAAGACTTGTTAGGTTTCAAGAGTAGGAGGAAGATGTATTTTAACTACCTTCATTCAAACCCTGTCTTATAGTGGTGTCCCAATATACCTATGATGTAAATATTCCTATTTTGCTTGTTTGCTTATGTATTAAACAAGCACTATGCTTGATAATTTCTGCCGGTGAGAAATACTCAGTATGTTTTAATTGAACCTCCTTCATTTTTTTTCTTTCAGTTGCTCCCTGCGTTCTTTACAAGATAGGTTGCTCCAAAATTAATGCCTCCTATTTATTTCCGCGGAAACTACAACAGATAAAAAGGACATGTTAACTCTGTTTGATAGAGCAAATTCTCAGCTACAAAACAGTAGTTTTGAACATATTCACCACCATTAGCTATGTACCAGTGATGAGCAAAAACCTGCATGCTACTTCCGTAAAAATCTAAACCAGCAGAGTTGACCCACTGCCACTGTTGCCAGTGCTGAAATGCATCACTCAGTACCTCACTGTGTTTGCGTTCACTGTTTGGTCACCATACACATTCAGCATCAATGAGTGTTAGTGGGTGCAATTTTTTCAGTGTGGAGGAATTCAGTAATACAGATTTGGTTCATACGTACTTCCATGTCAGACACCATTTTGTCAAACTGCCCTTCTGCTGCCATCTGTTTCAACATGTCGTGAAATACTGGCAGGAAGGTTCAGCCTCTACTGCCATACCACCAGCACCAGCTCCACCAGCCTCTGGCATTGTGGAGCAACATATAAAATTAGGAGGCATTACTTTCAGAGCAGGCTTCCTATATTACATTCAAGAGGAGGCTGACAGTAAACTTCATGTTGTTAAAAAGTCTGATATATGTTTCAGATCTTGCAGTTAATAATTTCTCAAGTCAGCATGTCGTGATGGATATCAGTGTCTTCTAATCGTTCCTTGTTTAATGTATGGATATAATTTGCAGCATTGGCATGAAATTTAAAGTTAAAATTTCACTTGTTTAAGTATGTGTTATGTTTATATACTGAATTCCTCGTTTCTGTCCTGTTCCAGTGTTCATGTTCGGAGGACAGACAAAGTAGGAACAGAAGCAGCATTTCATCCCATTGAAGAATATATGGTGCAAGTTGAAGAGCGGTTTGAACTTCTTGCTCGTAGAATGCATGTTGATAAAAAGAGAGTATACTTGGCTACAGATGACCCTTCGTTATTGCAGGAGGCCAAATCCAAGTAAGATGAACTATGATTATATTACAGTTTGTTCCTTCTAATTACTGTTTACAGTTTCTGGCTATTGTGGCTGCAGGTCTTGTTTTATGGTCTTTTATACAGTAAAGAATTTCAACTTCCTGTGCTTTTGATTTTTCTCTTAGAAATTCTTTTCCTGGATGTTCTTTTTTTTTTCTTTTTCCCCCAAGTATGCATAGATTTAAAGCTTAATTCTAGAAGAGTTTAGCAATATCTTTGACTTTATAAAAGCAACCGAACTCTCTAAAGGAGAAGTAAAAATATGAGTAATATAAACACCAAACTTCTAATAGATCATGCATATTAAAAGAAAGTATTTAGAAATAAAGTCGCCAACTAGTTAATATGCTAAAAAATTTCACATGTCGTTTTTGTGAGTAGATGGTCCATGACTTGGAAGTGACCCTTAAAGATCACTGAGTCCAACTTGGGATATTCCTTGATTCTATGATTCTAGATGCCAGAGAAATTTTTACAAGTTAGTTGAAAAAATTCTGACTTTTTTTGAAAAAAATTATATATATTCACTTCATAAGAGACATTTTGGTTGTTTTGTTTTTTTTTTTTCATTCTACCCATGAATAAATGTAAGGTTTGTCTCTTATGAATGTGGGATTTCTGGTCTCTTTGTTGCTGTTACATGGCTGTAGCGAACTTTTCCTAGCTGTATGATATCCCTAGCTCTTATAGCAAGTGTAACTGTTCAAGCCTGTCAGTACATGTATGCATTCATTTACTCATAATGTGGCCTCTGTTTTCCTGAACAAACAAACTTAAGTTGCATAGTTTGCTACATTTTGCTGAGTTGGTAGAAATTTCTGTTTAATTCAAGAAGCAGATGCATAAGAACGAATAACATTCCTTCAGGTGTTATGGCATATAAACAATTTCACAAATGCTTATTGCCCTGACTGGAAACTAGGATAAGAACTCCAGGTGCATTGAATTTTAATATATTTGCTTCAGTATAGTAGTGCAAGTTAGCATATTGTCATTTTTAATGCTATTTATTTGTCTGCGTACTAAAAGGCTCTGATTTCTATTTCCAAAACTTTGTCTTTTGAGCAAAAGAGTGGATTTTTCTATTAAGCTTGTCTTAAAAAGCTTTGCTTAACATGAGAGTGGCAATTTTTGAACTTGGTAGCGTGGTTGGAAAAATATGTAACATACTGGATTTTCTTTGTATATGCAAGGAACAGGAAACTGTTATTTTCTAACAGGAATTATTTGCAGCCTTGCAAACCTGTGTATTTCAATTGTGCGATTTCTATTTTACTTTTATATCTGTAAAAAGCTGCTGTTTGTAAGTTGTGGAGGTTGGAAAAAAACTGAATGAAACTTGTACAGTGCCACAGATGATGGAAATCTAATCCATCTTTTTTTTTTTGTATACATACAGACAAGAACCGTAGCAGAAACAATAAGGGTAGCATAACATTTAAAGTGCAGATCTGAACAATGAAAATACAGGTAATACAAAAGTTAGGTTGTAATATTTAATGAATTACATGGTCATAAATGACTTTGATTACTGTTCGTAGAATAACAAATTTGATACTTCATTAACAATCTTAGACATTTTTTTTTCCCTGTTTTCAACTTTTGAATCCTTAGCACTCTATGTTTAACTCTGTGAGTAAGATACATTGACAATGTAAACATATCACCCCAATCTGCAGATACTAAACCTTACAGGAGAATTTTGATTTAATGTTAGTTTTGCAGCTGGTTTGAGTCAATTCTCTGACTAAGGGGGTGGAAGGACCCACAGACCCCTGCCCCAAGACAGGGGGAATGGGAGTAGGGAAAAGGTAGGGAGATGGACCTAAAAACAAAGCAACAGTGAACTAAGGGAGAAAACTAATTAACTAACTATGATAGTGGAATTTGAGATAATGCAATATAATACAATATAATTGGAATTGAAGCTAATAAATCAATTAAAATGTGAGAGAAGGTGTCCAAAACCAAAGGCCTTACTCTAATACTGAAGGTGAGAAAGCTAGGGAGCACAAACCACGGAGATGAGCAGTAAAAGAAGGGAAAAAGGGACTGTCTTGTGACTTGTGAGCAGTTTTATCTTTCCCTCTAAATGGAAAATGGAAAAGGAACAGTGAAGAAATCTTCTGGGATTTGTAGTTCTTCACTCCTGAAAGCAAAGTACCTGGAAACATCGACAATCCGTAGAACTAGAGCGTTAACTCTTTTAAATCCCAATGCTTTACATGATGTTATGATGTGGATTACTGATAACAAGAATCATAAAAGCAGAAAACACTTAATAAAACAATTCTATTCAATATAAAAGATTTTGATAATTCAATGTGTATGTTACATGTTGCTTGCACCCAACAGCTGTTGACAATGGAGTAGCATGTATTTGAAACCAATGATAAAGGCAGGATCCAGTTTGGTATTGCATCATAAAAGGATATCTGAACTCAGGTCAATGTCAAAGTTTTGGGAATAATGAACCTTTTTTTTTCCCTATTTCTGGGAAGAAAACTAATTACTTTACACTTGACAAAAAAAATCCCCAACCAAATAAAGTTCTAGTCGCACTGCTTTCATAGAAGCAACCGTCCCATTGTATTTGAGTAACTTACATTGGATTTGATAATGGGTGCAGAAGAAATTCTGTCTCTACATGAGAGTGATTGTCCATCAAACAATACTGGAATTTAAATAATGAAAATCCTGCTAACATACACACAAGTATGTTCTTTATATCAAGAGAAGTATTTCAAATTTTTCATAACCATGAAAACAGTACTCTTCTGGCTTGCAGTTGGATATCTGCACAATACAAGTATGGTAACAAAGGTAGTAGAGATAGCAGTCTCAGTTTGTAGCATTTATGAGTGTTTTTGCCCTTTTTTGGAGTCACATTTAAAAAAAAAAAAGGTATGCTTTCAAATTTAGGATGATGTATAACAAGATTATTAGAGACTAGCTGTAGTGATTACGGAATTAAAGTACTTGAGAATTTCTGGTAAGCAGAGGTTATGATATTTGTCATAGATAAGTGATAGGGTTGCTGTAAAATGCTTGTTCTTTAGCTGATCTAATGGTTTTCAATAATAAAGCTCCTGGGTTTTCTAGTGTATGTATTTCTGGTCTATGTTATTATTGACAGCATCTTCTTTAAGGTGTGTAGAGTTCAAAATACTGCAGCTGAACATGCATGTGATGTATTAAGGAACCATATTCAGCACCTTTCTAGCTTACATATGAATCTGTTTGAGGGATGTATACTGTATATAGATGATTCTGTTAGTAAGAGTCTGACATCTTATTATTTGTTTTTCATTTACCTCATGAATATTTATAATAGGAATTGCCAGAGTTCTGTTTAAAAAGGAAAAAAAGAATCCACAAAAGTTTACAATGTATGTATAACGTTAATTGTCACATACAGATGGGAAAGCAAATAGGAGGAAGCAAAAGTTTACCTGTAGAGCTTTAGAAATTCCATTTTCTTTGTTCTTTGTAGTTATTGTGGTAAGAATAACTCTAAATTGAGTATATAGCACTATATATATAGTGAGTGGGAAGGAGAATTGAACCTCACCTGCTGGAGACAGACTGCGGGCCACATGTGGCTAAGCTTATGAAGATATAAGCTTTGGCCAGTTACTCTGTTTTTCTTTATGCTGTGCTTTTAGCCTGATTGGAAATAGGATTCAGGACTAGAAGACTCATTGCTCTGGCTGCCTGTGTCTGCTATTACACTCGCATTTTAGGATGTTTAAAGGAATTCTCTTTTTCCAAGTGTGAATGTAGAATTAGGATGAGGAACTGGACAGGAGGTACAAAAAATACTACTTTGAAAACTTACGTATGTGAGTAGATCAGTACTAGGCTGGTATCACTGTGTTCAAGAAATGGCTTGAAAACTGATGGCTAAATGATTTAGAATCAACATTACAAAATGGAAATGGAGTCCAGATTTAAAAGCAACTTGAATATACCATTTCCTGAATTAAAGGAGGAAGGAAAATTGCCTAACTGTATATGTAAGATAATGTATAGGTAATTTTGGGGTGCATTGAACCTTAAATTTGAAATAAGCTAAAGAAGCAGGTGCTGTTTATAAAATTAATTTTCAGTATTTTCAGTACCCCGAGGTTCATGGTAACATTAATCATAATTCAAATCTTTCTATGAAAATTTAAGATGTTTTGAAGACTCTGATGTTTCTGATGATAAAGCAACCTACTGTGAAGCCCTTTTACTTTCAGATTCCCTATTTCAGGGAGTCTGTGGTATAGGAGGGATTTCTTTTTATGCTGCTGTTAGAAGCACAAAACAATGGATGAGTTTTTTTCAAAAGCAACATCCAAAGCAACACTTTTCTTTTTACCAAGTTACTGGACTGACTGTTTGCTAGTAAAAAAACACAGATTCTTTAGGAAACGGTTTCAGAAGGAAACTTAACATAGATGCATTGGCTTACTGTTAGAGCAGGTGACTCTCTTGGGAAGATGAAATTCTGTTAAGTTACTTTAAAAATATGTTCAAATTATTTAAGCCGAGGATGAAGTTTTAATAAATCTTTTTGATTGACTCCTGCAATTGATGTCCTGATTTAACGGCTAGTTAACGTTAGGTGGTAAAGCCTATTGTTTCCTGTTTAACTTTTGGAAACAGTTTTTCTATAGTGTTAGGAGAAAAATGGAATAAATTAGGCATATTTGTACAACATACTATCATAAGTATGGCTACCATGTGTCGAGTGTGTATGTTATGATGTTGATTATAAGTGTGTGTTAAATTCAGAAACTTTCCAAGAACTCTGAGTGTAAACCTCCTTATTCTAAGAAATGTTAAGCACCATTTTCTCAGGCTTTGAAAGATCTAGTTACAGATAAGTTATGGCTACTCTAGCATTAGAACCTACTCTATATTCTGATTTTCTTTATTAAGCCCTTTAAGATTGATTAATTCTTACAAATGTAGTATTTGCTAACTTACTACATCATCTAATATGTGCTTTGTGCTTTGTAGTTGCAATGAGTTTATAACTTTTTATAGCTTCATAACATGCTGATTTGTAGTTAGCATGTTAGTGACACAAATTGCTTTTCAGGTTTGAAATAAAATTTTGTAACAGCAATGCAATTATCATCTTTGTTGTATCTATCTAGAATTTTTCATATAAAACTTATTTTTGGTTGGAGACTGACTGAAAATTTGCTTAATCCATGCTACTTTCAGCCATTTATTTCAGTTCCCTTGTAAGGGGTAAAAATATTCTGAGAAAGACTGTTCTTTTTCAAGGTTCTCAAAAATGTGTTGGTTTTTTTTTTCGAAGTCATTGTTACATATTAGAAACTTTTGATTTCACTTAATATTTTTAAAATCTATATTTCAAATAAAAATTTTGGACTTAATTACTAATTTCTTTGTATCAATACACCTTTCTTTACACATCAAACTTCTAAATTTCCTTCATTTCCTTTTAAACAGTAAATTGTGAAATCTGTTCTCCACACAATCTTAACTGTGGAAAAACAATTTCCTTTTTAATTCAGATTCATTTATTTAACAAGGCCCTTTAGAGGTGATTACTTTCCCTGCACAGTATCATAACCAGTATCTAATAAAAAAATACCTTAATGAATGGAAACATAATTTAGTAAGGACAGTCCTGTATTCCATATTCCATTTAGTAGTAGAGAAAGCAAAATGTGCGTGTTTTTTGTAAAATCATCAGGATTAACAGAAAACAACATTCACTTCCTGGTATTTTACAGTGATATCTTAGGTTTTCTTCTTATTTAAGTTCATTTTGATAAATTGAGGGCATGCTTGGTGGCAGTAATAATATTCTGGAGTGTAAAGGAGTGACTCACATTAACTATCTTGTCTTACAGGAAAGATGATGCTTCTTAACAAAACCAGACACTACAGTTAACAGTGTATTATATTTTCATAGGTATCCAAATTATGAATTTATCAGTGATAACTCCATATCTTGGTCAGCGGGACTTCATAATCGATACACTGAAAACTCCCTAAGAGGTGTTATTCTGGATATCCACTTTTTGTCTCAGGCAGACTTCCTGGTCTGTACATTTTCATCCCAGGTAACTGTGTTATAAATACAATCTAGAATATATGTTCTGGTTCTGAATCTTCCTTTTCTTCTTGCTTCTGTTATCTTGGTCTCAGTTCTCTTTCATGAAAATTTCATGAGACTATTGTGATTTTTTTTTTTAATAATATGTGAAAATTTAGATGACTTAGCACTGGTTGATTACTATTGAAGTTATTGGCTTAATTAAGGCATTTGAATTAAGAAAAAGAAGTTTTCTAGTTTTATGTAAAGTTAATATATAACTTGTACATTTGTTTCTACACAGCTTAATTAAGGCATACAAGTAAGTAAAAATAATTTTGAATATTTAACACTTCTGAACTTTGCATAAAGTTAATATCTATCTTGTATCCTTCCATCTCTGTAATTCAAAGTCCTCGGCTGTAGCTTAAACATATTGCTTGACTTAATAGCAGGAGTGACAAGGAAAGGAGAAATTTAATTTCTTATTAGAGACTGTTATGCTTCTAGAGATCCAGGGTGAGGGTAGTAAATGTGAATTCTGGTCACTGCAATCTGTAGAGAAGTCTTGTTGCAGATGATTATGCACTGTGATTTTTTTCTTGGTTTTTGAACTTGAAGCAAGATGAGTGGAGTTTGTAGGAAAACTGAATCATGTAACTGTCACTGTTATCTTCTGTATTACATATGTTACCCCATAGTATATATTAATTTCATATATCGTGAAAAGCAGTTTTAAAAAGCTGTTGGAAGGTTTAAAAAATAATTTAAAAAAAAAAAAACAAAATTGTTTTCTCTTGCATGTGGTGATCCATCTAATTTGGGTACAGCAAAATATCATCAAAATCAAACAGTGAACATATTTAACCTACATTTGTCAACTATGCTTTCTGTTTAGGAAAGCGTTCAGTTATAGATGGTAACAGATTGTGATCTTATGCAATTGTTCTATTATGTGGAAGGAGACACAAACACTGAAAGTTAAAAAATTACTTCAAAAAGAAATTTTCTCTAACTTCAAATGTAAATTGTTTTCTGCACTGTAATGAAAAATAAATAAGCATAATATTAATATATGATCAGTAGAGTGATTCATTCACATTGACTGCCAAAATTCCTGATTGCGTTATTACGACAAGAAGACAGCAAAACCAGAAAAAAAATGTAGAAAAGTCCTTTATCCTTTAGTCTTGCTTATGGTTGCATTTTTCTCACTATTCACCAAACAATGTGAAGAAAACTACTTTTTAAAAAGCATATTTAGAAGGTTATTAATGTTGGCTACTTCAGGGCAAGATATGAATAAACTCCAAAGTAAAAAATCCCTGGTAAGAAAAGTCTGTGAGAAGCCATCCACTTCTAAAAAATGCTCTCTTCACCTGAATTATTTTCACAAGGTGATTATCAGCTAAGACCTAGGACTGTGTATGTCAGATGTGGTAAAAATTTCACATTCTAAAGGAAGTATTAAATGCTTTTTGGTTTAAAAAAACAAAACAAAACACAACTTAGTGAGAAATCTATGATGCAATCTGCTATTATTATATTTAGATAGCTGTGAAAAACATACTGGATATAAGTGTAGAAGAACAGTGTTTAAATTTAGGTTTTAGAATTGCTTTGACAGAATATATTTTAGAAGAATTGTAGCTGTTTCAAAAGAAGAACATATGTTAAAATAAATGAGTATAGTTAAAGTGATAAAGATTGAAGGTAACCTCTGGAGGTCATCTGATATTTACCCCCTTTGAGAGTACATTTGAGTAGCACAGTATCCTTGAGCTCTATCCTCATTCTCCATCTCTGTGCATTAACAGTAGATATTTTTGCTGGATGGCAGTTTTCAGCAGTGTAAAATTCTGTTGAAGTCTAGAAAGTCTTGTATTAAGCTGTGACTTTCAGTAGCTGGGACTGCAATTTAGTCCAACCTCATTTACTTTTTGTGATTTCTTTTGCTTTAATAATTCATACTCCTCAATTTTGCTGGACATGTACCAATGCAAATATCTGCAGTGTTTTCTTATATTGTACTTCTCTAAGATCTATTGCAGTGTTTTTCTGATGTTGAGAAGTATTTCACTGTTATGGAATTAAAAATTCTTTTCTAACATTTGATATACTGTCACTATCCTTTCATCAATGAAATAAACAGTTTGGCAGACACTATGGCTTGACTGTAAGCAAAACCATGCTAATGATGACCATCCAGTATGTAATCTGCGTGAAGAGGATGTAAGGGTGGGAATTTATTTTCCGAGTGATTTTGGACTGTCTATTCTATATTGGATTTTTTCCATTTTCTTTTCCTTGAGGAGGGAAAAAAAAATCAGTGTTCACAACAGAGGTATTTTTAGAAAATTACTGTATACTTGAATAGGATCAAACTTCTTAGGAAATATCTTATATTAGTTCTTATTTGTACTATGAAAGCTAAATGAATATCGAGTAGAAGTTCGTTGTTTAAAAATTAGGCCTGCCAAGAGAAGGCTAAAATCTACCTTGACTCTGTTTGTTCTGTGTCACATTAATTGAAATGTGTGAAAAAGCCACAGAGCAGTAAAACAAATCATAACACAAATGCAGAATTAAGGTTGTTCATTAAATAAACAGCTTTTTTGTCTCTTCAGTCTTCATTTAGATGAAGTTGTAGCTCTGTCTGTGAGACTTATTTTTCCTGATAATCTCTCTTTCAGGGTTTACTAGTCCTATATTTTGCATTGTACCTGTAAGTATATAGTTTGCAAAGCAAATAAATCTATGAAGAAAAAATAAGAATCTATCTTACTTAGCTGACATGTAATTCTTTATGTGTATTCTTTGCCTGCTGCTGTTGACAGGTTAGTTTTCTAGGTTCAAAGCTATAAAGGAAGTAATCACTGAACAGGAATTTTGCATGTATTGTCAGATTTGAAGGATTTACAAAAATGACTCATACTGAAAAGATTTAAAATCTTTCACAGAATCGTGTCTTTCCTCATTACTGGGTGCACACATGCAGAGAACAAAACTTCAAAAACAACCACATACTATAAAATAACCTCTTACTAAAGTAATGGTAATCAAAATCAGAGAAAGATATAGTAATCTAGATTACAATTCAGAGAGATCACAGTGACCAAATCAGGCATCTGACATGTGAGACTGAGTGTGTGTCTATGAAGCCCAATGACATGCATCCCAATGTCCTGAAGGCTGCTGCCAGATGTATTTGCCAAGCTACTCTCCATCATATCCAAAAAGTTGTAGCTGTCACGTGAAGTCCCCAGTGACTGGAAAAAAGGAAACATCACACCATGTTTAAGGAAGGGAGAAAGGAAGATCCCGGACTATCATTACTACAGAGTAGACTTTGAAAATATAAGTACTAAAAGTTCATCAAGAAGTAAAATATACTTTAGTCAAAAAAGAAAACAAATTTGCTTTTACATTTGATTAGCTGCAAATTATTCATTTTAAAAGACAGACTGGCTAGTGTTCATCTAGGAGTTCACAATTTTTACTGAAAAGTAGACCACTGAAAGTAGTTATTTGCTATGTCCATACAGAATCCCAGTTCAGAGCTGTGTGCTTCTTATTAGCAAGTACATAGTGTTTTCCAATACTTCTTAAAAAATAAACTGAATATTCCTTCTTCTTCCTTTTGTAAAATATAGTTGTTACCCCTTGTTTACTGACTCTGATATATTTTGGCACACGCATACAGTATTTATAAGTTCTCTTTTTTTTTATTTCCAAGGTTTGTCGAGTCGCCTATGAAATTATGCAGACATTGCATCCAGATGCTTCAGCATATTTCCATTCTTTGGATGATATCTACTACTTTGGGGGACAGAATGCACATAACCAGATTGCTGTTTATGCTCATCATCCACGAACTGCTGATGAAATTCCTATGGAACCTGGAGATATAATTGGAGTAGCTGGAAATCACTGGGATGGTTATTCAAAAGGAATCAATAGAAAATTAGGAAAAACAGGCCTGTACCCGTCCTATAAAGTTAAGGAGAAAATTGAGACAGTCAAATACCCTACATACCCAGAGGCTGAAAAGTAGAATAACAGGAAGACATTTGGCAGTAATTCTCACTTCTTTGACTCAAATCTGTCAACATACTAATGGTTTATATGGGATTTGAATTTGCATTTTAACATGCATTTAAAATCAAAGCCTTTGGTAATGAAACTGGAAAAGAAACTGAGAACAAATGGATGGGCTGTTATCTGAACTCACTCCTAAACATTTTTTGTTATATGCACTATCACACATGCACACACACACAAACGCATACAGCAGGAAAACTGTTGTTTTATACTTTGTCTCTTCAAGATTTGTCCCAGTCAGTAGTCTTATGTGAGCTTTCAGCTCTTTTCTCTGCCATTATATGACAATAATGCTCAGATTTATAACACTGCCATATTGTGTAATTTGAGTAACATGAACATATTTTGTATGTGCAAAATTTAAAACATGGTGCCTATATTTGAAAGATTTGTGACATTTTTAAAAGAGCCATGCCTATTTCACTGATGCGCAAGAGTCAGTTTTCAACTGTTACCATGATCACTGAATTTGCTTCAAAGAGATTCAAATTTCAGACTAGATTTCTTTACAAGTTTATTTTCAGCGTTCCATTGGTTACTTCTCATGATTAATAAAATAAAGGATACATCCAACACTGAAATAGTCACTGTCTGTTAGGAACTTTTGTAAAACAATGCCATAAACAAATTTGTCAGTGCTGAATGTTTTTGGACATTGCTTTTGATTTAAAACAAAACAACCACAGAAAAAAAGGAAGGAAAAAGTGGTAGAACTGGAGTTTCATCAAATGTACATGCACTTAGAATGACAACAGGTGGTGGCAGAGTGGTTCTCGGTTCTGTGGACAGCGGGTTTTAGCAGGATGACTCCAGTGGCTTATTTTCTTACATCTGCTTTCAAGCATTTTTTTTTTACCCTCTGTGTTTCTCTTTCGAAAGTATTTTTTTAGGGTATTATAGGTAGCTGTTTACAGTTCTGGCATTGTATCTAGTTGATTTGAAGCAAAAATACTCCAGGTCTCTTATTTTTACATTCCTTCAACACACATGTAATTTCAGAAGGAGCATATGCTGTTTTCACTGCATTAATAGTCAAAAAAGAAAAAAAAGTCAAAAAAACCGACAGTTTACCCGGAAAATAGTAGGTTCCAGTAAAATATACACAAGGGTACATTTTTATGCATGATATTAAGTTGTTAGTAATTCTTAGTGTTTTGAGATCTGCTGCTAGTCTATACATACAAGAGAATTTAAGAATTTTACAAACAGATTTACAGATTTGAGGGTTATATATGCGCGTGTATATATAAATGTACAAGATATTAAGAGAGTATTTCCAATTGAGCATAGTATAGTACAGGTTCTAGTGCTGTCAAAGTTGGAATACTGGAAGTAAAAAAAATTTTTACTCTTCAGACACTGAGAAAATGCCACATGAGTAAATGTGGCTTTTAAAAGCTAAAAATTAAAAAGATATTTAATTATATTTATGAAGAGATCAAGGACAGTTTTGACCCAAGAACAAACAGATGCACTTGATCATGAATAATTTCTACTGTAAAGTAGAAGGAAATCCCTGGAGCTGTGAAGTTTAGCAATAGTTTTCTAATTGAAATAGTGATGAATTAGGTGGAATATGGTTGGTATATGATGGAATTAACTAATTAGTTCTCTGTGGCATTATTTGCAGGGCAGATCCTGTAGATCCCTTGCAGTTATGGGTTCCTCAAGTGAAAAGCTATTGTCTCTTGAAAAAGAACAACAAAATCAAAACTGCTGTGGAGAAAAAAGATAAGTTACCTGCTACTAGTGTTAAATGGAGATCTCGGTAAAAAATAGAATAGATACCAAATATTTTAAATGAATAATTGAAGAATAAAGGCAAATGAATAAAAGAGTGGGCAAGAAATGCTGTAGTTGATGAATATTTGTGACTAAAGCTGATTTGAGTTAACTAGTATTTCTGCATTTTTTAAAAGAACTGAGAAAGCTGTTTGGTGTTAGATTATCATCTAAGTGATTTTGACAAATGTTCCACCAGTGTAAGCCAAACTTGTGATATTTTGGAGGCACAAAGGAAAGCTAATATACAACTTTTTGTTAAATTTCTATGGTCCGTGTAAAGCTATTAGTACTATTATTATTTTTCATCTTGAAAATATTCAAAGTAAAAAATATTTCTTCCTCAGTGATTAAGTCAATGCATTTTGTTTTGGGGAAACATAATTTTTAACTATTTCCACACAAGTATTACATTATCTATTTGATATTTTAGATTTTGAAAATGTTTTATTTTTGAAGCTCTTTATTTACACCTTCAGACATCATAGTTCCAAGCTCATTTTTTGAGTGACACAGAAATAGTATAAATCCTCTGTAGTCAGGTAAGTTGATAGAAAATATCACTAAAAAGGAGAAATAACAGTATGTTTAAGATGAACAGGAATCTGTTCAGGAATGTATCAACAGGAATGTATCTTCTGATGTAATAACCATAGAACTGAAAACACTGATGCTATGGAGTAAATATCCATATAATTTGGCTATTGCTTAACTTAACTGTAAAGTTGACAAAATATTGGCAAGGTGCTTGTGTGTTCTTACATTTTCCAAGTACCTAATAAATAATTCTTATTGTCTTTGATGAAAATGATGGTTAAATCATATGAAATTATAGAATTCTTGTTAATAATTAAGACATGTTTTAATGTAAATGCTCTGACCTTATTCCATTGGATCATATGATTCTCTATTGCTTACAGCGCAGTGCGTCTCAGAGGAAGCATCATAGCAGTAGGCTGTTTGCTGTATGTATCTGTCTCTAGAGATGTTTTCCTAAAGACTACGACTCAGATATGTCTTAGACTCTTGGGACCTTGGGATGTAAAAAGTGATTCTCAGTTACAGGGAAATCAAGATAGTATAGACAAGAGGGATCTATGGTTAAATGAAGATGAGACCTCCAAATTTTTATTGTTGCTAACCAAAAAATGAAATAACAGGAATAAAAAATTGTCATACATACCTGAAAGAATGCTGAGTTTTTGGAAGTTTAAAACTCATTAAGGTACTATCCAGAATGCTTGCAAGCAGGCATTTACACACATTGTTTGTTTCATTCACTTTGTAGTTCTGCAATGACTTTTGCCCCATACCAAACTACCAAGTCCTTATAGTCTCTCAAGCAAGATATTTAATTAAATTTTTTCTCTTTAAGAAGCATTTGTACATGTGTGAGTGTGTGTTGTATTCATAAAGAAAAAACAAACCAGAAACAATGCTGTTCCCTTCTTTGTTAATTTATAATTGTTACATTCTTTGTAATAACTTATTTTCTAGGTAAATATATTCTCTGTATAAAAAATATTCTAATTCTCACGAGCTGAGCTAAGAAATATATTCTGCCATTGAGTTAACTAGTCTTCCATGACTGTGTTGCACCTTGTAGCCTGGGATCGTAGTTAGTTCACTGCTGCAATTACACCAACCTGAATTCTGTTCTCTATTTTCACCCCAGCCCGCAGTCACTTGCATGGAATTCCCAAATTTCCTCTACCAACATGCAGAGTATTATGGATTTGTTCATGAAGGATGATGTTTTATTTCAAAATTTTTAAGTATTTTTCTTCAGAGAAATGTTTTGTCTACCCCTCTACCACTGGACTTCATGGAAACTTGTGATTATCAAAAAGATTTATCTTCTTTACTGATTTTTCAGAAAAGAGAACTGATCATCCTTCTTTTATGGAGAGATATTTGTAATCTGAAAGCTTCCTCCAAAACTGAAACATGTTTTGTTTTCACGATAGGTTTTTGTTTCTTTAGTTTGCAGTTAAAAGATGTAAGTATCAGCTTCTGAGGTAAAATCATAATAATATGTAAAATAGAAAATTCTCATTACAAATACTCCTTGCTAAAGGGAGGATGATTTTCCTTCATGCCAATGGAGTAGCACCTACAATTTAGATCTTTTTCAAAACAGTGAATGGAACTTTTATTTTTTCAGTTCATAGGATTCTTTGCAATGTAATCTCTCAAATGTTTGAAGAGTCCAGGTGAAAAGCCTTTGTGTAGATTGTGAGGTGGGAATAAGTCTAATACGACTAGATATTTTATACTTCTAAGTTGCTGGATCAATTTTATAAAGCCACAGGATACATATAAATCTTTCAGAGATTAATGATCTCTGCCAGCAGATCCTTGCCATAAATATGTAATTTGTGGTCCCTTTTTTTGATTTTGCCTAGTACAAGTCTTAGTCTTGTTTATAAACATCATGCTGGTTATGTTCTGGTCACTGGTTGTTACTATATTACTTATTTGTTGCTTGATGAATTCCAGCTGGAACGCTCTTAAAGGACTTAAGTTTTATTTGGTTTACATATTGTGTTGAATTAAAATTACATTTAAAACTCACTAAAATTCCATTTGCTGAAGCCACCACTAGAATTCTTTCCAAAGGCTGCAGACTTATGTCAAGGGCCACATTATGTATTGCAGGTTTGTATGGAGCAAGGCTGAAGCAAAAAAAAAAAAAATCATGTATAAAAGTTAATCACAAACAAGTTGGGCTAGACTTCTTAGTATTCTGTTCATTTCTAAAGGTATGAAATATGACATTACAAGAGAGAAGTAAGAGGGCAGTATAAAATTACCAAGCCTGCAAAGAATTGGTAGTGTCTGCCTGCATTACTGGTTGCATTCATTGTTTACAAGATTATTTCAGAATTAAAGTACATGAGGCAGAGGTCTTCCAGCAGTACGAGAGGAAGAATCCCTGCCACAATGTGGTTACATTGAAAAGGTCTTTACTACTGGTGGTACTTTGTACAAGTGCCTAATGCTGCTGATGCTGTTTGCTGTTCAGTGGAACCTTTGTTTTGCATGTTTATTTCCTTTGACGTAACTTACTTGCTGATAGAATCCTGTTGCCACTTCAGTTGAAACAAGTTTGGATTATTCAAAGGTGTGCCAAGTATTTGCACCAAAATATCTTTTACAGTTTCTTAAAATTGTCTCCATGCTCTTAGGGTGACTCCTAAAGAGAGACTGCTGGCCCAGACAGTTCGTTGTTATATAATTACTGACACATACAAGTTTTACTTTCCTGTTTGCATGATTTTTCACATTTTTAATAGATGAAAAATATGTATATTTTTAATATTACTTTATTTATGAAGTGTTTTATTGACCATGGTGAGATAAAGTCCCAACTATCCTAAGTTTTATTGAATAAATCTATTAACCCATTTCCTCTAATTATTCTAGACATCTGCCAGTGTCAGCATTCTAATAGAACCTTCTAGATTGTTATTTCTTGAAGGCTATGACATCTTTATGCTTTTCCATTAACCCTGCTGACTACTTGCATCCGAGCCTGATCTCTATAGTTCTGAATGAACCTTTATCAAAACTTTTTGCTTAGTGTATTTGAATTCTTTTGCTAATGCTTAGTGATTGCTACTTGACCAGAAAAGCAAGGGGACAGCAAGTGTGAAGATTTCGTTTTTTATTTCTTCCATTTTTTGTTTTAGTGGTTTTATTTATTTGCAAAATGCATTTGAATCAGAAGAGAATACTTGCTACTCGTACCATGGCAAATTTCTTGACCATATGAAGGATGTCTTCACATAGCATTCCTGAACCATTTATTTTTTTATTTGTCTAGCACTTCTAATACAGTAACACTTGCAGTGTAGACAAACGATAAGGGACATAATCTGAATGCAGTCTTTTACAGAACTGTAAGAATCAGATCATTTTCTTCAGTCTTAAAATCCCTTATTTTAGCTTTGTCTTAGGCTTCCTGCTTTTTCTTTGTCATTTATTCTTCTATAATAGAGCTGCACAATTCTCAATTACTTGACTAGAAGTAGAACCATAAGAATATTAGATACTTGTCTGCAAGAATGCATTGAATGTGGAGACTACTGTCCATTTCAGCTGTCTACAAAAGATCTGTCTCTGAAAGAAGCCAAGTGTGTTTGCTGAAGTCTTTCCCAACTTGCAGCCTGGAGGTGTGGAAGGTGACCAAAAACCAGGACTTAATTCTCCACAAATGGAAGGAATCTGACATCTGTTATGTCCAGCCAAGATGCTGGAGAGAAACTGACCTGTTGTCTCACTGCTTCAACTTAGTGCTGAAGAATGATGTGATGAATTTATAATTTTAAATCTGTGGTCTCTTTGTAACATCTTTAAAACTTGATTTGATTTCACTTGAGAATGAAATTGTTGTACTGAAGGAATAAATTCAGATTTATGGGCTTAAACTGCCAAACAGTATTTCTTCCTGCCTTGGATGGAGTGCATTGTACACTAACATTTCTGAAAATGAGTTTTGTTACTGTATTTCAGTTATTCAGTGACTTGACCATTTTCAACATGAGCTTAACAAGATATTGTGCAAAGACTAGAATTAATGAATCTTTACATAATAGTTTAAGGATTGATGGATATGTAATTTTTTTGTCCTTTGTACTTGTATTTTTTCTTTTGAATTTGATTTTGTAGTGCTTCAATTTCTGTTACATTAATATTTTGTTTAGGTGTTTATATTGATTACTGTCATGTGTACGAAAAGAAATTTTTAAACCAAAGCAAACTGCTAGCCCAAATATCAGACGTCAGATTAAGGATGTATTCTTAGTACCTTCTGACATGCTGGTGACATTTGTTATTGTTAGTATATTTCTATGTTTGATTCTGAAACAACACGGTTTAAGAAATTATCTGTATGCTTCGTTTACTCTTATTCCAGCTTTTGTATCTTAGCAACTGACCAAGCATATGCTAAATGTATTTCAGAATGAACTGAATTAGGTTCACTTATGCCACTGCTGATTGGGTTAGTGAGAGTTTCGGGAGTAAACATGAAGGTATAACCTTCATTTTTGTGCTTTTAAAATT